TACAAGCCCCTCTGCTGACATGGCAGATGGGATTTGTAGTTCCTCCCTCCTGTGGATGGCTGACGTGGCTGTGTGGGAGCTCCTCAGCTGTCAAAAAAACCCTCTGCAGCCTGCGGAGATTGCAATCTGATCATGTTTCATGTTACACCCTAAATATGGGTGTAACATGAAACATGGTCAGAAAGATGAATTTAGCCTTTAGGTCTCGTTCACACCTAGGCGTATTGCATATGCGCGACCGTCGCGCGTTTTTTTTACCGCGTTTCGCGGTCAAAAAGTCGCACGACAAACGCGCGTTTCCGAAGGCTACTTGGCTGTATCCCAATGGAAACGCGCAACAAAACGGCCCAAAGTAGTACCTGGACCTTTTCAGGCGTGGGCCGTTTTGTAGCACGTTAGGGACGGGCGGAAATATGCCAAGGTGGGAACGAGACCATTGACTACAATGGGATTTATATTTTTCAGCGTTTTGTAGAGCGTTCGTCAAGCGTAGAACGCGCTACAAAGCGTTCAGGTGTGAACGAGGGCTTAAAGTGTGATCTGCTCCTAGCGAGGAAATGCATCCAGGTTTTGGGGTAGACTAGCGCAAAAATGCACCTCTGCCTGTGTAGGCAAAAATCCTTGCACCGGCCCTGGTTGTATTCAACGGCACAGCTTCACTGGAGTTCTGGGTTGCTCAGGATATTTGCACTTTAAAAAACCTAAACCGGCATGGTGATAAAAAAGACAAAGTGAAGACGCCGCACAGTCCTGAGATCCTCCACAGCCCTCCTAAGACCCTCCACGACCCATCTGGGACCCCCCACATCCCTCCTGAGACTCCACACAGCAGGCCGGCACACTGGACCAGCACAAAGTATGTAGCTTCATATTATTGCATAATGCATAACTGGGATTTGTAGTCTTCCATAGCTGGTTGCCATTCAGCATTGCCATATAATGTATTGCTTGGAATTGTAGTCCTCTATTGCTGGTGATATTCTGCACTGCGCCACTGTCCTAAAATCATTAGTCTGGTTTGTTTTCGAAAAACTGTCACATGACACTAAAAAAAAGGTATCAATAATTGGTATCGGCGACTACTTGAGGAAAAGTATTGGTACTTGGTCTTTAAAAAATTGTATCGGTGCATCCCTATTTCTGTCAATGCCCGTACTGAGGTACAGACATGTAGTAACATGGACAGAAGACGAATTAATGGACAACAAGTGTGATGATGTCACCTCTCAAACTACAAGCCCCTCTGCTGACATGGCAGATGGGATTTGTAGTTCCTCCCTCCTGTGGATGGCTGACGTGGCTGTGTGGGAGCTCCTCAGCTGTCAAAAAAACCCTCTGCAGCCTGCGGAGATTGCAATCTGATCATGTTTCATGTTACACCCTAAATATGGGTGTAACATGAAACATGGTCAGAAAGATGAATTTAGCCTTTAGGTCTCGTTCACACCTAGGCGTATTGCATATGCGCGACCGTCGCGCGTTTTTTTTACCGCGTTTCGCGGTCAAAAAGTCGCACGACAAACGCGCGTTTCCGAAGGCTACTTGGCTGTATCCCAATGGAAACGCGCAACAAAACGGCCCAAAGTAGTACCTGGACCTTTTCAGGCGTGGGCCGTTTTGTAGCACGTTAGGGACGGGCGGAAATATGCCAAGGTGGGAACGAGACCATTGACTACAATGGGATTTATATTTTTCAGCGTTTTGTAGAGCGTTCGTCAAGCGTAGAACGCGCTACAAAGCGTTCAGGTGTGAACGAGGGCTTAAAGTGTGATCTGCTCCTAGCGAGGAAATGCATCCAGGTTTTGGGGTAGACTAGCGCAAAAATGCACCTCTGCCTGTGTAGGCAAAAATCCTTGCACCGGCCCTGGTTGTATTCAACGGCACAGCTTCACTGGAGTTCTGGGTTGCTCAGGATATTTGCACTTTAAAAAACCTAAACCGGCATGGTGATAAAAAAGACAAAGTGGGGTTTCTCTTTCATATTTATTTAAATTAGCCTGGCCTCTGCCTAACCAGTTTATGGACTTGAGATCTCCTTGTACTAGATCTCTGAACAGACTTATATGTCGATTATTGGTAAGGTTAGGCATCGTCTTTGATTTTCTACTAAGGGGTGTGATTCTGTTAACAGATGATTCATCTGGGAAATCTTCCTGGTTATAATTTTCTTCCAGGAGGGCTTCTAGACCTTTTAATGCCTGTGCATCTAATGGATCTTCTCCTTTCCTCCTGTACTCTCCTTTCCTCCTGAACTCTCCTTTCCTCCTGAACTCTCCTTTCCTGCTGTTGTCTGCTATACTGTTGAAGATGTCCCTATTTTGAACTTTACATCCATCACCAGAGAGATGCAATAGTTCCTAAAACGGAACACATGGGACTGCATTCAAAATCCTAGGCTGTTTATCTGGATGGGAAACATTACAATTGTTCATCATATCTCCTATGTGGAACACACCACTCGTGAGATTATACGAGGAGATTTCTGTTACCCAAAATGCAAATAGAACAAAAAAATAGAACAATTGTGTATCCAGTATTCAAGAACTCCCTCCTGGGATTCATCAGCTATAGAAGGAACTTTGTTTCTTTTGCAAGACACTTTTTATGTAGATATTGATTTTGGTTTCACTTCTGAGGTGATCGCAACAGTGTTTCAAAACACATGAAAGAAACTGTCAGCCAATACCCGACACCTACAGCTGCACCGGCTTATATCTCAATACTACTCAGCTCGTCCTTGATCGTACGATAATCGCAAAGTGTATGGCAGGTGTGCGACTGTTTTTACTGTACGGTCGCACGTCTTTTGTCTAAGGAGCATGTTGGAAAACCAGCCGAAAATCTTACGATTTTCGGCTGGTTTGTGGCATGCTCGGGAGACAAATGCCGAACGGGCCGGTGTGCGCACGCACACACTGCCCGTTCAGCATTGCGGTCAGCGGGGCGGGCTTGCAATGTTCGCAAGTACGATCTGCCTGTCCAAGATGGGCAAATTGTACGTTTTAAAAAATTACTTTACAACCATCGCAAGACTAAGGTCTTGCGATGGTTGTAAAGTGTATGGCCACCTTATGTGTGTGTGAAGTGAGTGAGTTAATGATTGTACAATCATTTTTTAGAAGGTTCCAGGTGGCGGTTTGACAGTTTATGATGATGACTCGTGTTTAAATTTATTCTTAAATAAAGATTTAATATTTTTTTATACTTCAATTGACACTCTGACCCTTTATAACTGTCTTTGATCTGGTCTTCTTTAGATCAGTATCACCTCTCTTTTTGCATGGAACAGTGGTGAACCTTCCCAGGAGTGGGCGGCCAACCAAAATGACCCCAAGAGCGCAGCGACGACTCATCCAAGAGGTCACAAAAGACCCCACAACAACACCCAAAGAACTGCAGGCCTCACTTGCCTCAGTTCAGGTCAGTGTTCATGACTCCACCATAAGAAAGAGACTGGGCAAAAATGGCCTGCATGGCAGAGTTCCAAGACGAAAACCGCTGCTGAGCAAAAAGAACATAAAAGCTTGTCTCCGTTATGCCAGAAAACATCTTGATGATCCCCAAGACTTTTGGGAAAATACTCTGTGGACTGACCAGACAAAAGTTGAACTTTTTGGAAGGTGTGTGTCCCATTACATCTGGCGTAAGAGTAACACCGCATTTCAGAAAAAGAACATCATACAACAGTAAAATATGGTGGTGGTAATAGTGTGATGGTCTGGGGCTGTTTTGCTGCTTCAGGACCTGGAAGACTTGCTGTGATAAATGGAACCATGAATTCTGCTGTCTACCAAAAAATCCTGAAGGATAATGTGCGGCCATCTGTTCGTGACCTCAAGCTGAAGCGAACTTGGGTCCTGCAGCAGGACAATGATCCAAAACACACCAGCAAGTCCACCTCTGAATGGCTGAAGAAAAACAAAATAAAAACTTTGGCGTGGCCTAGTCAAAGTCCTGACCTGAATCCTATTGAGATGCTGTGGCGTGACCATAAAAAGGCGGTTCATGCTCGAAAACCTTCCAATGTGGCTGAATTACAACAATTCTGCAAAGATGAGTGGACCAAAATTCCTGCACAGCGCTGTAACAGACTCATTGCAAGTTATCGCAAACGCTCGATTGCAGTTCTTGCTGCTAAGGGTGACCCAACCAGTTATTAGGTTTAGGGGGCAAACACTTATTTACACATGGCCATGTGGGTTTGGATTTTGTTTTCCCTTAATAAAAACCTTCCTTTAAAAACTGCATGTTGTGTTTACTTGTGTTATCTTTGACTAATATTTACATTTGTTTGATGATCTGAAACATTAAAGTGTGACAAACGTACAAAACAATGAAAAATCAGGAAGGGGGCCAACACTTTTTCACACAACTGTATAACATATATGATATATGATGTATGCAATGTGTAATCTGCTGTCAGGAACTACACAGAACAGCTGTTCTGTGTTGGAGGGCAGGTTCCATAAAGAGAACCTGTTACCTCCAAACTATCACATAAGGGATTTTAATCTCCTATGTAATAGGAAGAACATTTAAGGGGGAAAAGTAAATAAATAAAAAGTTAAAGAAAATTGTAAAAGTTAAAAAAATAAAATATATAAAAGATTTAAAAAATGAAAAAGTAAAAAATAAAAATGAAACCCTGCTGCCCCCGCCATCTGCATGCAAATAAACGCATGCGTAGGACATTCTGCATGTGATTTGAGATTGCAGCCGCCATTCCATGGTGGTAGCCAGAATTCTCTTACACACACACAATGTGCATTAAAGGGTAAGTTCATTTTCCCAGGTAATATGGAAAAATAAAAATTACCCGATGAAATCTGGCCCTGTCTCTCCAAAACCGTCCCCCCCCTGGCTATACTTACCTTTCGGCGAACAATCCCTCCCCTCCGCCAGTATAGGTGTACTATCTGTCCCCCGTACTGCTGTCCAGCGCAGTCCTCCTCTATGCATTTTGAATTTCGCTCGCAAATTGCAAGCACTCATTGGTTAACGTGGTCAGATGACTGCGCTGACCAGTGAGAAGCTCTATTTAGCACAGTAAAATGGAATCAGGAACCTGGGCGGGATGTCATTACCTGCTGCCCGGTTACCTGATTACCAGGGAAGCCAGCTCTATGTCAGCGGAAGCACCGGTATTAGTATAAAGTGTCGCCGAGATCCGAAAGCAAAAAATCGGTACTCGATACCGAAAAAACGTAATTGGTGCATCCCTTGTTTTGAAACTATTTTTTGTATTGGGACAAGTAGATTGTCATGAAGGACAAGTAGATTTGGCCCCCCACTTTAGCCCATGGACAAGTAGTTTTTTTTTTAATTTCCACACCCCTGTGAAGATAGAACATATATGATGCATGTAGTGTGTAGATAGAACATATATGATGTATACAGTGTGTAGATAGAACATATATGATGTATACAGTGTGTAGATAGAACATATATGATGTATACAGTGTGTAGATAGAACATATATGATGTATGCAGTGTGTAGATAGAACATATATGATGTATGTAGTGTGTAGATAGAACATATATGATGTATGCAGTGTGTAGATAGAACATATATGATGTATGCAGTGTGTAGATAGAACATATATGATGTATACAGTGTGTAGATGGAACATATATGATGTATGTAGATCAGTCACCTCTCTTCTCCAGATCTTCTCTCCCGTACTCGGTGCATTTCTTCAGCCATTCTATACATTCATTCTCCACATAATTCTTGTATCTCTCCCCCACTCTCTCCTCCGGGCTGTTCCATTTCTGTGTGGAGATCTGAGCCTCGGTCATGGTCGGGATAAAGGTCCAACTCTTTGTGTCCAGATACAAGAACTCTCTCCCGTCATATCTGAGTTGATAATACCCGTCAGTGGTTCCGTCATCTCTCAGTTTACAGCCGACCATCACCTGGACAATATGGATCCCTGCAGACAGTACAGGAAGATGTTACACGGGAGCAGAGCGTGTCATGTATGTAATATGTGATGATATTGGGGGATAGATGTGTATACACGGAGCGTACATATACAGCACAGCGCTCTCCTTATAATGACGCTGCCGGTACTACAGATATATATCACTCCTCTATGGCAGAAAACTTCTTTCTAATGGAAACTCGGATACAAATCCCCAGTATGTGAGAATAAGACGCCCGGCTCCCAGTGACACCCCAGAATAGGGACACTGACTCACCTTCCAGTACTGGACGGAGGATCTTATCACTGATTGGCTGTCCTCACCTGACAAACATTCACTAATTAGGTGTGACATCTTCAAATTATCGTTAGAGAATCACCTACACACCATACAGCGCTTGAACCAAACTAAATATCCATTGGTGCTCGAAATGACGACACGGATGCCGCCGCGTAACAATCAAAGTAAAGATAGTAGTCACCAGCACTCACTTGTAATGTGCAAAAAGGACAGCACTTTTATTGATATGTCACATGCGTCAAGAAGCCAACGTTTTGGGGCAGTGCAGGGTCCCTTCATCAGGCCGACATTGTTGCCTTCTTGACGCATGTGACATATCAATAAAAGTGCTGTCCTTTTTGCACATTACAAGTGAGTGCTGGCGACTACTATCTCGCAGGTCAACCATGCCTGTATGACTTTTGCGCAACCCCCTTTATAAAAACAAAAAGGAGGCGGGGCTTGGATGCAATTTGCTTGCCAGATTTGGCCACAATGGGAATCTTTCCCTCCATCCCTGAAGGACAGCAAAGGTAAAACATGTGCATGTGACATGTGACGCATCTAAAGTTTGTGTTGTAGCTCATGTCTCAGCTTGCTTGTGTGGCTATTGTCGGTCTGTGCAGCTGAAGATCTCCATGTGTTGTGGAAGTACAAATCCCAGCATGCAGCTACCTCTGGGTGTCATGCCTATTTCTTTTCTGGGTGTACAGACTTTTATATGCATCACAGGACTTGTAGTTCCACAGCTGCTGAAAGACCGATGTTGTTAACCTCTTGGCTAATGTGTAGGAGTTTATTATGTCATGAACAGGACTTATTTTCATTGGACAACACTCAATGCACCCATATGCAGAAACACGTCCAAAACGCGCATCTATTTAGGGGAAACCGCACATAAATGCGCAAAAAGCATGTGAGAACTGTGCAAAGGAAAAACTGCGTAAAACGCGCTGAAACGCTGACGCCTAAGTGTTAATGAGGACTTAGATTTAGTATTAGAGATGTCCAGTTGATGAACGAATCGTTCTTTGAATCGATTCTTTTCAGTGAACTGGAGGAGTCGATTCATCTGACTGAGCTGATCCGTTTGTAGCAGCTCCGTGTGTGTGACGTATAGCAGAGACTCTAGCACGTCTTGTAATATGATCCCAGAGTGAAAGCCAGGCTTCTGCCAGCCCCTCCCAGCAACCAATCACATCTGTGAGTCACAGTACACCGAGGGGGGAATTTATCATACCTGGAGATCAGAGAATCTGGAGCAGTTGCCCATGGCAACCAATCAGCATCTCTCTACAGTTTGCTCAGGTGAGATTTGAAAATGAGACAGAGATGCCGATTGGCTGCAGTGCAAATCTGCTCCGGTTTTTGTCTGCTCCAGTTTTGATAAATCCCCCCGAGTCTTAAGGTGCCCATACACCTTATGATTATCGTACAATAATCGTATGCGATCGACTTTTCGTACGACAATCGTAACGTGTGAATAGAGTGCCCGACCGATAGTACTGTACAATCGTACGACTTTTGACGTTCAAGCATGTTTGAAAACTTTGGTCGATCGTACGATGTTCGCATGGTTGGTGGCGTTTCCATCTGTCAAAAGTCGTACGATTAACACTGCGCATGCGCAAACGAAAATAATTGCGGTCATGTACCGCAAGTCGTCCAGGTGTTTTTTTTTTTTAACTACCGCTGATTGAACCTTTCAATAAACGGAGCAGGATGGGGCCGTCGTACGAAAATCGTAAGGTGTATCGGCACCTTAAAGCTGGCCATATGCTTTACAATGGTTGTAAAGTAATTAAAAAAACGTACGATCTGCCCATCTTGGAACGGCAGATCGTACTTGCGATCATCGAAAGCCTGCCCCAATGCTGAATCGTAAGATTTTTGGCGGGTTTTCTAGCGTGCTCGTTAGACAAAAGACGTGCGACTGTACAGTAGAAAAAGTCGCACGCCTTCCATACACTTTGAGATTATCGTACGATCGCGGGGCACTTTTAGAATCATATGAGTCTAAGAATCGAAAGAGTCTACTTAGTTAGTAGACTCATTTGATTCTTAAGGTGCCCCGCGATCGTACGATAATCTCAAAGTGTATGGAAGGCGTGTGACTGTTTCTACTGTACGGTACGATAGTACAGGGTGGTGTCATTGTAGAAGAGTGTTAGAGCAGGGCGGTGTCATTGTAGAAGAGTGTTAGAGCAGGGTGGTGTCATTGTGGTGACAGGGCTACATACAGATCATTTAATCCATTCATGTTAGCAAAGTATAATTGTACATGTATTCTCTGCACTGTATGAGCAGTATATACTCTATATGTACTACATATAGAGTATATATAGAGTACACACTGCTAATACAGTGCAGAGAATACATGTACAATTATACTTTGCAGCATAATAGTGTGTGTGTGTGTCCCTTGCCCTCACTTACTGTGCCGGAGAGAGCAGCGACGAGTCAGCGCTGGTCCAGTGGGAGGAGCTCCAGGTGGGGTCATCTGGCAGTCTCCAGCCACCTAAATTAGGACCCCCACCTGGAGCTCCGCCCACCGGAGCAGCAGTGACGCGACGCTCGGCGAGGTAAGTAAGAAAAAAAAATATTTCCCCATAGCCCCTAAAAGTAAAGTAACAAATACAAATATTTAATAAAAAGTTTATTAAAAAAATAAATAAAAATTAAATATAAAATAATTTGAAAAAATTAAAATAAAACACATTTTCGGTATCGGTTTCGGCATGACCATTTTGGTGCACCTCTGGAATTTATTCATCAGTCTGAGATCTTCTAGTAAATCATGAAATGTCTCTCCTGTGTTTTCTCAGCCGGAGGAATAGTTGGTGAATCTCCTCCCTGTATCTGGTGTGTGTGTCATATAAATGTGGAAGAATTGTCTCACCTCCAGTCTGGTTGTATCGCTCCATCAATATCTGCACTCTTTGCTTGTACCGAGCCTCATTGTTCCGACATGTTTGTGTGTTATGTTCCCAGGAGTCAGATCCCAGTTTCTTCATCCACTCAGTCTTGGGGAGATACTGACGAGTGTCACTGTTATAATTTGCTATCTCCCGATCATCCACATATCCAATTTCAGAATACACAGGAAGTCCGGCTCCCGGAGAGGAGACTCCAGTGACATAATGCCGCAGAGAGTGAGTGTCTGAGAGAGACATAGAGACTGTTATATACACACCCTGTGACATCACATCATAATGTATATCATGAAGAGATACAAGTTTCATCACTGGTACAGCGCTAAACGCCTTTCAGTGATAGAACGGCAAAGAACAGACTGATACAACCTCAGCGTGAGGCATTCAGCAGGAGATCCCCATGAATATCAAAACATGTGAAACATTAGGTGTGTAGGCTAATAATAATTCAAAGTGTATAAAAGACTGCTATGAAACAATGTCTAAGCAAAAAAGTGTTGTGAATAAATTTCAAGTATACACCTTATTGTAAGGAAACAAAGTTGTAAAAATAAGTGCAGAAAATCACAAAATTATCCAAGAACATGCGTCTTAAGTGTACTTTGTAAAAAAATTAAAAGATACCAAATAAAAATAAAGAGTTTTTCAACATAAATTCTGTGTTGTGTTCATCAAAAAGTCATAATCAACATAAAATTTAAGTTATTTTCAAAGTCTTAAATCTTCAAGACAAAAAAACGATAGTGAAATCAGGTGGATTTTTTTCTTCCAATCCTGTGAAGTGTCCAATGAAATTCTAAAAGATAAAGCAGGGAAATCCTCTCTAGGGAATCCACTCACCAGATCTCTGGTGTTAAAAAGCCGTTTGTCTTATC